GATCACACAGCGGCTGCCACTCGCTGTGCAGCCCCAAATCTGCCTGCAGTCTCCAGCTCCTAATGCCATACAGCAAGGAATAATAATTAATCCTTAAAACAGCGAACACTGCCCACGAATCAGAAGTTGAGCATTACAAGCTATTACATGCTGTTGCTTGGAGTCTCAACGTGTAAATGAGAAATGCATGATGCTTATTTAAAGAAATGTTCTTCTCTCAAGTTATTCAAGCTCAGCATCTCACAGACAATTTTTAGCACCTACTGAGCCACATTTAGAGTCAATTTAGAGTCCGGTAAAATCCTGTTGACATCAGAAGGACTTCATGAGGTTAGAAATCAGTGTAGACGCTGGAGCATTAGTCATAGCTGGGCACATTCAGCTGCGTGCAGAGCCAGCAGGGAGCCCAGGCATCACTTTGGGTAAAGCCTGCTCCCCGCAGCGGATGGGCCTTGCGCCAAGCTGCTGTACCCTGGGTGAATATCACCCAATTATGTGCCCAATTACAATGCCGAGCAAATCAGCCGTGAGCTGATACAATGTGACAGCGGTAAGTGAGACGACAATATTTCCATTCAGTTCAATTTGCCTGTGCGTAATGGAAGCAGCCCACACGACTGTGCTCTGAGCAGCGCACATGCAGGACGCTAAAATTAGAGTCCCACCCACAGTCTGCTCTGCTCCGGAGGCGCCTCCGTCGGGGCAGAGCCAAGACGGTGCCCATCCGATTGCGAATCAGATGCCGTGTGACCCTTCCTCGCTGCTCCACATCGGCTCCCAGTGACGCTTTCGTGCGTCAGCTCTCCTGCCTGTCTCCGGCATCAGCAGCCTCCACTTGCTGCTCATTATTGCCGGCTGCAGGAACAGTCGTGCCTGTGAACAGCCAGACCGGGTAGGGGTGAGAGGAACGAGTGATACAGGCTGCCACGAACGGCATGAACCGGCAGGCGAGGCAGGGCGTTTGAGAGGAGGCAGGCACCAATTCCCATGTTTCATCTGTCCGGCATTTTTGCTCGCAGCCGGCTGATCCCTCTGCGTGCCTGCAGCTGCTGGGGCAGAGATCACCCTCTGTGCCATTGCCAATGCTAATGATAGCGCTCTGCGCCTCCACAGCACCCTCCGTCCCAGGATCTCAGCTGACTTTATAAGTAGGATTGATTTTAGCTTCGAAACACCCCTCATCTAATTATAGATATCATCATCCCCACTTTTATGTGTGAGGAGACAGAGCCACGGGCAGCGCAGATCTGGTGTGTTTGAGATGGCACAGCAATCACAGGGCAGAGACTGGGCTAAAACCCAGTGCTGGGACTTAGACACTGGGCTAATGTTGTGTGAGGAGGGCTAGCGCAGTCAGGTGCCAGAGTGTGGCTGGATAAAAATGGCAGACCTGCACTGTGGCTCCAGTGTTGGTGGCACAGGCTCCCCTAGGTAGAGCTGGCTGATTCCCATAAACCTCACCCGGCGCAGCCTCACACTCCCGTCTCTGCACAAAACGATATACTGAATTAGAAATCTTCTTGTCAAAATGGATAACTGTCTGGTCTCCCACTGGGACTTGCCCCACGTGCTTCAGAGAAAGGGCCAAGATCCCCCTAAATGCGGTGGACCTACATTGACAGACCGCTGCAGGGAGCTAGACTCCTCTCCTCTTTCCCTGGGTGGGAGCAGAAAAGCATCCTACACCACCTACGGCATGGACAGCAGAAGTGGGCTGGCGATATGAGGAGAAGTCATGAGAGCCAAAGACAAAGAGGGTTTTCAAAAAGGGAATTCAAGGCAAAAGGAAAAGAAAGAAGATGTGGAGAAGAAGCCTGAGAAGAGACCCTCAAAGTAGCATGAATGAACGTGGCACTGGGGACAGGGACTCTGGGCAGTGAAGAGCTAAGAGGGAAGCAAAGAGCAACATGGGAAGACTAGCAGGCGATACTAAAATCATATATACAGCCTTAAAGGTGAGGTGAAGGGGTTTGGACTTGTGTGGGAAGTCTGAGAAATGGTTCAAGGAGGTGAGCAGCACTTCAACGGGGAGGGAAGGTTATTTTAGTAATAGGCACAAACAATGAGAGAGCTGGGCATGGCAGGGGAGAAGAAAGAGCCTCTGCTCTACTGACACCAAAGCAGCCTGTACTCCCTTCCACAAAAGCATGTCCCTGCCAAGGCTAAAGAAATAGCACCATTTTAGAGGGGAGCTGAGGCACAAGAGTGTATTTTCTGACTTGATCCAAGACATGCAGAAAGTCTGTAGCTGGGCAGGGAGCTGATCTCCCAGATCTCCTGATTTCTAGCCCAGCACTGTTTCCCCATCTGCTTGCCTTTCCCTAGCCTTGCAATGGTTTGGCAAAGTCTCAGCTGAGGACTGGTAAGGAAAGGATGTAGTGGGGCAATAATAAAAAGAATAAAAAAAGCTGGTGTTAGCTGTCCACAGAGAAGGGCACTGCTACCAGCTGCATCACAGTTACTGTAAGTTCTTCGCCAGCTGCCTTCTTCTCTCGTGGCCTGTTTTCCAAACTTCAGGATGGAGACGATAACTGTGACCCTTCTCACAGCACTGTAGTAAGTCAAAGCTCTTTTCCTTCCATAGATGAGGACACTCATACGTGCCTGTATACATGTACATACGTATGCGTGCTTGTATATATGTCTACACAGCCCTGCTATGGTCCATGCAAAGCTTCTAATCAAAACTCCTCAGACATGTGACCCAAACTCAGATGCAAAACTGTTACCCCTTGAGAATACACTAGACTGAGGAGAAACCCACCATTAGCAGATATAAAGTGATTTCCCTGGGAACGCCCCAGCATCCAGCTGGGTGCCTACGTGCATAGCCCTCCTTGTAAATAAATGAGGTCCCAGACACTCTTTGCTGTAGCCCTGCAAATTTGGACTACAGAAGCTTGACAAAACTCAGACTTCTTGTTATATTTCTTTGGGCTGCTTCTTCCCAACATGCACTTGCTAGTAAAGTCCACAGACCATGGGAACTAGTCTCCTGACAGCTTAATAACTCACATCATGAGGGACACCTCTCAGCCAGGGGACCAGCTGCTTGCCCAGACCCACACCAAACTGAAGCCCATTCAGGGCACAAGGCTGCTCAGGGATGAGCGCAGGCACTGAGCGTTTCTCTCACCTCCTCCGTTCTTGCCACAGAGATACGGGAAGCGCCAGACATTGCCCAGCCCGATAGCATAGCCCACGCAGGACAGCAAGAAGTCAAATCTCCCCTTCCAGGAGCCTCTGTCTGGGATCTCCTTCTTCTTCTTCTTGGCGCTCACGGCCTCAGGGGCGATGGGCTCCGACTCCTCCAGGGCTGCCTGCTTCACCTTGGAGGGAGAGCTCAGCTCCACAGAGGTGTTGTCCATCTTGCCCATCACAATTTAGACATACAGCTGCTCTTGCTCAGGGGCTGGAGGAGCAGGAAGGGCAGCCTCCACCCTGGCTGAGCATGGACGAAAGGGGAAGCACTGGGCAAAGCTCCTGGTGAGAAAGTAGAGAAAGAAGGTATCCTGTGTTAGTGTAGCGGGCTTGCTGGGTCTGAAGTGGACTCACTGGATAGACTGGTGTACGTCAGGGCAACCTATCCATGCCTCCCTGCTTTCCCTGGAGAGAAAAAGGAGGGTAATTTTGCCTTGCTCCACAGCCGCCTTTCTGAGGAGCCATGGTCACACAGACTTCTAACAACAGGCTCAGACCTGGTTGTTACCAGCACATAGCAAACCTCTCAACTCTCATCTTATCTCCTCTTCATCCCAGCACCTGCTCTGCAAGAAAAGCTCCAGGACCAGTATGCATGCAGGGAAGTCACAGCCTGTGGGTGACCCACCACAGAGCAGTTCAGGCAGAGGAATATATCTAGCATGTCTGAGTGACAGTGGAGAAGGGCATGATGGAGGTGCCACATCCCCCAGGTCTGGGGCCCAAAACTGAGTGTACCAGCCACGGAGCCATCTGAGAGATTGTGTGGCCCAGCCAGCCATGCGTGGCTGTGACAGCGTAGCTTTGCAATGGCACCTCCGCTACGGACATGCCCCACATTGCAATCTCATGCCCTAATCCCCTGTCATGGCAGTGACAGGGACGTGATCACAGCTGTGCACCTGCAATGCCTGGCAAGGAAATCACTGATCTGCTCAGCACCTCCTTGTACACCATGTTGCATGTGATATTGCAATCGCCAGGTGTATTCAGACGGTGCTTGCTAGTGACTATAGCCAGCCTGTGAACCACTGAAATCCCACTAAGTCAGGACTCCAAAGTCCTGAGGATTAATTGGACAAGTCTGACTAAAAATGTAACAAATATTTCCATTTATTTTAGGCCCTAAGAAGTATATAACCAGTACACCAAAACAATTCAGAAAGAAAGCAAGAACAGGCTACGTTATTACATCGGTGTCTAAAACAATATTGCACTTGTCTTGAAAACTAAGTGCAGCTCTCCTTTCCCCTTACAGAAGCTATTACAAAGTCAGAAAAAGGCATGGACGAGAGCCAAAAGGATGTTCGAAAGTGTGAAACATCTTCCATGTGAGGAAAGGCTGAATGAACTAGGATCCACCATCCTGTGCAAGAGGTGACTGACAGGAGCCTATGAACTTATCAGTGTCATAGAGTATGAGTATTCACCATTTCTGACACAAGAACTATAGGGGATTAAATCAAAACAGCAGGTGGTAGGTTCAAAAAGACCAAAAGGTGATACTCCACAAAATGCACAGTTATGGAGCAAGACTCCCCACCCCAGAACATGCTGGATGCTAAGAGTTTACATGGCTTCAAAAAGGAAATTAAGAGGAAAAATAATGGAAGGATAATCCACCAGAAGCTACCACTGTGGTTCAGGAAATCCCTGAGCTGCAAGTTGTTGGAGGTTGAGGAACTCTTCCAAAGGAAGTATCACTCCCTACTTTTCCTGGTTTTATCCTCTCCCCTCAGCATCTGCCCTCGGCCAGTGCAGAATTATAGAATCATAGAATCATTAAGGTTGGAAAAGACCTCTAACATCATCGAGTCCAACCATCGACCCAACACCACCATGCCCACTAAACTATGTCCCTAAGTGCCTCATCTA